CCCCCCCCAACTAGTTAGAGACTTTGGCAAATACACCCTGCACTAGTGATTGTAAATCTCTGGTAGGCAAGCTGCACCATTCAGATTAAGCAAAGCCAGTCCCAGCATTCAGTTGGTCATTGTGAATTTGGCGTCTTCAGCAACAGGTGGAGACTAAGGACCGCGTGCTGAACGATAACAACGTCAATGCGAACATCATCGTCAACAATGAGAAGGACACGAACGAGGTGGAGATGTCACCCAAGAAGAGAAAGGTACAGCCTGCTCTTTCCCTAAAGTCTGGTCAGGGTGTCTTTGCTGTGTGAACACATTTTTTGTGCTGTGGTTAAAAAAAAAAAGAGATTAAAAACCCTCAAACTCTGCTACTGTAGTCAGACCTAACAGCTGGATCAAGCTTTGTACCTGTCCTATCGATCTTTCTGTCTCTGTCTCTCACTCTCTCTCTCTGCGTAGAAGTAGCACCGCTTGGGATGAGGCCAATACACTTAAGTCAAAAAAGCTTTTACGTACTCTAGTGTCCTAACAGGCAAGTGTAATCCTATTGAGTCCCCTCCCCACCAACCCCCTCTGTGTGAATGTACGGAGCCAACTCTTTTACCCTTGAACCTACGTAGAACTGTTGTCACACGACATACTAACATACTAATAAGGAAAGGCCCTCATTTTGTCCTTGGTCTTGACATTGACAGTGAGGAATACCTTCTTCCAAGCTTGAACTTTGATTTTAACCTAAATAGAAATACCGATATTATTGGTGTTGCAAATGTTGGTAAGATGACTAACTAATGTTGACTAGATTGATATGATATTATTTGCTAACTAGTGTGATGACAAAGTGATGATTACTGAGATTGGTATTATATCAGAAAGTAGTGCATACTAATGATGAAAATGGTCATGTTAATGGTGAAAGTTTTGATGATTGTACTAACTGTAATAGTAGTAAATATTACCATTGTTTTCTAGTTGTTATTATTGTTGTCATTACAGTTATTATTATTGCTGTTATCATCATAATCATCATCATCATCATCATCATCATCATCATCATCATCATCATCATCATCATCATCATCATCATCATCCTTATCATTATTATTAATATTAGTGTAATTATTATCATTATCATAATTATTTTTATTGTTATTATTATTTTATTATTTTTATGATGTTTATGCGTATTATTATCATTATTCATTATTATAGTTATTGTTGTGATCACTAGAATTTTGACTTTATTTTATGATTGTGCTATGATTATGATAATGATTATGTAATGATAATGAGAAATGGTAATAATAATAATCATGATAATTATGATAATAATGATCATAATAATAGTAATAATAATAGTAGCAATAATAGTAATAATAATAATAATGATAATGATAATTGTTATACTAATAAAAATGATATTGATAATGATAATAATGATCATAAACATAATCATAATCATAATAATAATAATCATAATAGTAATTAATAAATAAATAAATAAATAAAATGATAATAATGATAATGGTACTGATACTAATAATGGTAGTAATGATAATAATGATAATAATAATAATAATAATAATAATAATAATAATAATAATAATGATAATAATAATAATAATGATAATAATGATGATGATAATGTTAATGGTAATAAGAGTAATACTAATGATAATATTAATTGTAATACTATTATTATCATTATCATTATCTTCATCATTTGTACTACTATAAGTATGATAATAATAATGATAGTAATAATAATATCATTATTATTATTATTATTATTATTATTACTGCTATTGTTGTTGTTGTTATTATATTATGTTATTATTAATATCATTCTTTCATTATTATCATTGTTATTGTTATTATAATTATATTATTATTATTATCATTATCATTATTATTATTACTGTTGTTGTTTTTACCATCATTGTTATCATTATCATTATTATTATCATTTATCACCTTCATCATCATCATCATCATCTTTATTATTATTATTATTATTATTATTATTATTATTATTATTATTATTATTATTATTATTATTATTACTATTATTATTATTATTATTATTATTATTATTATTATTATTATTATTATTATTATTATTATTACTATTACTATTATTATTATCATTATTATTATTATTATTATTATTATTATTATTATTATTATTATTATTATTATTATTATTATTATTATTAAATCACCGCCACCACCACCAACAACAGTATCACTATCACCACCACCATTATTAGTAAATTCACTGTCAATAATGAAATAAACAAATTTTCAGGATTATTTAAAACTGCAACAAAATCTTGAAAGTTGACATTGCAAAAGACTCAGAATGAAATGTGCATTTATATATATATATATATATATATATATATATATATATATATATATATATATATATATATATATATACATATATTTTTTTTTCTTTTTTTCTTTTTTTTTTCTTTTTTTTTCTTTTCTTTTTTCTTTCCCACCAAATGGCTAAATTATATTACCATCTACATAATATTCAAGCATTTTATTATTTTTTTTTAGCACATTAATATCACAGCAAAGAAGGAGAACATGGTGAGAACATGACTATTCAATTTTTTTTTTAGTTTAGACAAAAAGGATTATATTGGCAACCATCCACATAGGCAATGTAGGCAGAGTACATGCACAGACGGTGATGAGTTACGAGTTGAACTGCAATAAATCATGCACAGGTTGTGATGAGTTGTGAGTAGGGTGTGATGAGTCATGCTCTGTTCGTTAGGTGTCACGGGTGAAGTAGCGTAGTCATGAATAAATTGTCATGGGTCTGGTGATAGTCATGAAGAGTTGGGATAAGTCATGTAAAGGTTGTGATGAATCATGCATAGGCAATCTGTGATTTAGTCATGAATAAACTGTGATGAATCAAACACAAACCTTGCCAACAGCAACTTACGTATAATAAGTATATGTAGACACATGCAAACTACCATGCACTCACAGATACTCTCTGACTTTTCTTCACTTCTGAAATAATTTTTTGGGGGTAAACCATTAACTGTGAGAGTTTTTGAGTGTGACTGCCTTGATTATTCTTTTATCAGTTGATTTAGAGACATTTGTGGGTTAAAGATAAAGTGAATGTGGTTTGATATAAGGACAATGTAGCGAAATTTTGAGTGACATGCATTGTAGAATATTATATATCTTTATGATAGGATATATCAGTAGTCTGATTGCAAGGTATTTATACATACTAGAGTAGTATTAACTTTATGAGCTATATTGCTCTGATTGTTGCATGTTTATTGGCAAAGTGCATATAGAAAAGGATAATTCTTTAGACTGTATTAAGGAGAAAGTTTTAGATGACACATTGAATAGTAAGTGCACCCTGTATGACTATATTTATTTGCATCACCACAGCCGGTGTTATTTACTCATTAACTGGTTATTTTTTACTGCGACACTATACCTGTGACTTATCATAATAATCTATCATATATATATTTTTATTACACTGTTTCACTGTGGAACACTGCATAGTAATTGAAAGTACATTCTAGGCCTGGTATGTTCCGTCACCTTGCATTGCTGATGAAATATTGTAACTTGCAAATCACACTGAAGCTAGAGTGCACTGTACATATGGCCACCCAAGAACTTGATACTTAATCATTTTTATTTTTCACTCTACTTAAACTTATACTGTCCCATCAGTTATGTCTTATTCACTGCACTTCAATCTGCCTATTTTGCAGTAAACAGTATTGATATAATACTCCTCACACATTGTCACTCTAACTCACATTCTCTTGTCACCCTTCCCAGCGAACAGGTCTACACGTTACGCATCACAGAGAACAAACAACTAAACTCACATGTTACTCTCAGACGTTCCCTGCAAACTGTTGTAAGGTGTTACGATCTGTGTTTTATTTATTAGCGCCTTTTCTCTGGACACAGGTGGAAGAGTTCACCTGCGAGAAAGAGGGAGAAGGAGGTGGGGAGAAGGAGAAGGAGGGCCGCCTCGAGTGTTCTACTGATTGGGATGGAGATGCGGTCATGGCCTCCAGACAAGGCCACACCACACCGAGGTAATGTTCTCAGTCGGAAAGTCGTGTTTGATCCATTTTTTTTTCTTTTAATGTGAGTTTATAGAATTATTTAATTTTTTGGCATCTTCTGAAAAGGCTTATTTCATCTGGATCTAATTATGAAAATCATCTCATACAATTTTATAGAAATTTGGAATTTGGATTTTCTCTAAAATGGAGGATTTTTTTCATGAAATCATTCTGAGATCATGGATTGCATGCTTGAGGCTCAGACATACTGTAGACTCTCTTTATATAGAAATCCATAATTAAGAGAATCCATAATTATGAGAAAACATTATCAAAAGATATGAACAAACAAGTAACTTCCTAATACTCCTGCTTACTTTGTATTAACAAAGTGAACTTGAACATCTGACAGAGAAACTCACACAGCATTAATCTTGACGTTACAGAGGAGCTGGAAACGAGGATAATAAGAACAGAAAACCACTGGCAGTACTAAGGTTATCATCAGTAGATACAGCTGTGGACGATGTAGATATGAATGTAGAACCTGCTAGCAAGAGGGAAGACCAGGTGTGTATCTTCTAAGACCTAAATGAGGATGAAAATAAGGGTTATATTCTGAGTTCTTTTGCAGTATTGTCTTGTATATTTTACAGCGTGTCAGCTATGAGTTTTATCGGATAATACTTGGTGTAGTTAAAGAAGGTATACATTGTCAAAAATGATACTATACCAAAGTTTAATCTTTGTTTTGCCAATTACATAGTGACAGTGCATCTAAGCCGATTTGGACAAGGAAAATAATGATTAATTCCTGATGTTAAGTCTGGTAATTCACTAATTGTACATTTTCTTCCCTCTCCCTAGTACTCTGTCCAGGATGGAAGTTACGTTAGCTTCCAGGATGGAGGGCGGCTGGTGAGGATGGAGCCCAGTGCAGGGGGGGTGTCTCCGGGCGGCTCCACACCCCCCACAGAGGGAGACTTCCACCCACATGCTCGCGACCACACCCCACACCGAAGGACCCACCACAAAAGGTCCGTGGCTCGCTGAGAAAGGAGAAGCAGGAGGAGGAGGAAGCGATCCTAATCTAGCCTAGCTTCATTTGTGTGTGCAGGAATTGTCTCACTAACCAAAAGAGGAGAAAACCTTTTAAAAAGAGAGAGAAGGAATGAATTCACAATTTTTTTTTTTGTTGGTTGGGTTTCCTTTACTAAACAATTTAAAACTCTTTTGTAAACTCAAAGCAGGGACAAGTCAACCAGTTGGGATATTAGTGCGTTCATTGTTACCTTTTCTAACTATATTGATTGTGTGTTTGTTTGGTTTGTCTGGCAACAGGAGCCTTGGATTGGCCAGGTGAGAAAGTCAACAGTCAGCCTGTTATCCTGCTGGTCTAGCTCGACAGTATCCCCTCTAACCTGTACTTGTCTCTCTAGCCTCACTTATTTATGATTTATTTAACTTTTTTCGTCTTCTTTTGAATACATAGATCTAGAAACCAAGTGTGTCTTTTGCAACCTACAAAAAAAAAAAAAAAAAATATATATATATTTCATGAGACCTATGGATGGTCTTATTGCCTGGTGTGTGTGTGTATTCCTTAGTTTACTTAATGAGAAACCATGAGAGAGTATTCTCTTACCGAGATTGTGTTTAGTTTAGTCATGTATAAGTCTTGGTGGATTACTTGTTTTGTAAGTTTGTGACTATATCACCCACCAGCTCTATTTTTAAGCTTCTTTAATAGGGGTCTGTGGTGTAAAAAAAAAACAAAAACAAAAAAAAACACAGAAATGACTGTGGTAAGTCTAGCACCACAAGTCCTGGTGTTCCCCCAAGTATGCTGTCATGTAATAATGATATAGTAGGAGTCATGGTGCTTCGTCTATGATGAGTAATGAGACTAATGAATCCCCGGGTATTTTTTTTTCTGGGCACCAGGTTCCACCCAGTTCAGCGAGCGAAGTACTTGGGTCATCGCGATGTGTCCATCACCCAGTTTGCTCTGGCTGATGATGACAATGTCTCCCAGCCGGCCACCAAGGGAGGGGGAGGAGGTCTTACTTTGGCCTCGCAGTGGAAATCACAGTTTGACGACTCGGAGGAGACCGACAATGAGCTGAAGGCGGACAACCTACAGAGCCCTGAGCACAAGCAACGCCTCACCGTAAGTAGACAGGTGTTGCCCCTCGAGTAGCCACTGGGCTCTAAGATATGCCGTGGCTTGTGGCTGTGACAGTTTGGTGCAAGAAAGTTTTGAGGTATGGGTAGAACGTTAACTAAGGAAATTTAGAGAGTGTTGTAGTAATGGAAAAGCAGAATTTATTGGAGGTTGGTCTTCTCATATAAGGAAGATTTGGCATAACCTTTATTTTTAGACTCTATAGATGGAACCATCTATATTCTCTATAAAATAGGGTTTGCTCACTGTGAGAGCTTAAGTTTGAAGGAGTTAAGGCTCTTGAACATAGTTGCACTCTGTTATGCTGTGAATGGTACACTCCGTCTATAAGAAGATTCACAGACAGTATGTTGAATTATAACCACGCTAAAGCTTCACTGAAAACGGAAGTAAAAAGGCAGAGCATCGTAAATAAGTAGGTAAGTCGTAAGTCAGTGCGATTAAAGTGCAGAGACAAAATGTAAGTACCATATATAAGTCTGTATCTCTGGAGACCAGAATATGTAATTCTACTAAAAGAAGAAGAAGAAGAGGAAGAAGAAAAAGTGGTTAAACTTATGTATATTAAAGTCCTTTAAATTCCTAATGTGTAAATATCATCAGGTGAATTGCTGCAGAATAAATAGATCTTCCAGAAGTAATCATAAATCCCTAACCAAGTAATATTAACAAAGACATTTATAATAAAAAAAAACAAAATAAAGATTGATTAATGATCCAGTATTTCTTAAACAATCAGTCACTGCAAGCCAGCCAGCTAGTTTGTTCCCGCATGTCTAAAACACGTAACCTAAGATATGGAATCCCTGTCATGGTCCCTCAGCTGGTGTCCCCCTCGTCCCACGGCCCCGACGACACTGCCATGACCCCCGTGCAGGACGCGGTGCCTGCGGAAAAGTCTCGGCGCGGCACTGAGCTCTCCAGAATCAGCGAAGATGACCGCCATCGCTCCTCTGATCACCACACCCACACCCAGGTCTGACCCTCCGCTAAAAAACTCATGCCTGTCTGATCTCTTAACCAACGTTTATGTATATCACCGGTTGTATTTCTTTTTATTTTCACTTATTTTTATTTTTCTTTTCTTTAGTCCCAGTGTAACACCCCCCACCGTGTCTGTCACAGATGTTTTTTTTTGTGTTTAGAGATGTGATGTCATTGTGTACACTGGCTTCTACCACGATTTTTAAGTTGTCAGGTACTTTGCAGAATTTATATATATATACACCGTCCACTGTCACAGAA